GTCACTTGTCTCAGCCTGAACACAAGTGCCCTGAGGTTCTGCCTTCCTTCTCCTTCAACCCGCTGTAGGCAACACTCTGTAGTCTGAACCTTTCCTGACTTCCTCCAATCAACTCTCCTTTGCCCCCTCCCATCAGATAGGCCAGTTCCTGCCCAGAGATGCACCTCGTAATGTGTTCCCCACCCGGGTAACTTTTGCTAACTCATTGCAGCCCTGAAAGGCTCTAATTACGATCATTCTTAATGATATTCTTCCAGCTCATCTTCAGCAGAGAACATTCCCTGTTACTACTAGGGTCCTAAAAACCCTTCTCAGGAATACTCTGCAGTTAGAGTCACAGCCCGAGGTAAAAACCCTCACACATTAGAGAAAGGAAACGGCACAATGTAGAAACAACAAAGCACAGGTTTTCTCATCAGAGAGATCTCTGGCCCGTGGGCAACTGAGTGACTGGAGCCCTTGCTTTCCTATCTGTAAAGTAGGGACGATAACACGTACCTCATGGGTTTATTGTGACAAGTAAAGGAGATTACGTATCAGTCAGCTTTTGCTGCCTAACAAACCACCTGCAAATTTACTGATTTACAATAACAACCACTTGTTCAGCTCACAAGTCTGTGGGTGTGTTATTTGGGCTGGGCTCAGCTGGGCTCTTGAAGCTCAGAACTCAAATAGCATTTACACCACATTAAACTGGTCAAAACAAATCACAAGGCCAGTCCAGATTCAAGGAGCGGGGAAACAGACCCTGACTGTTGAGGAAAGTTGCTTAAGATTATCGTTGAAATTCTTTTAATGCTTTTATTTATTTTTGAGAGAGAGAGAATGAGATCATGGAAGGGACAGAAAGAGAGGGAGAAACAGAATTTGAAGCAGGCTCCAGACCTGAGCTATCAGCACAGAGCCTGACATGGGGCTCAAGCTCACAAACCACGAGATCATGATCTGAGCCGAAGCCAGTTGCTTCATAGACTGAGCCTCCCAGGTACCCCTATTGTGGCAATTTTTGAATTCTACCATAGGTAATAAATATGAAACACCTGGCCCTCAAACTGAATAGATTTCTAACATATCTTCATTTCAGAAATCCTTGCGGTGGCCTTTTATATGAACCTAAAGAAATATTTGTTGAGTCTTTGCTCTCCAACCCTGCTCTAAATACTGGAGAGTAAGGAAGGATTTTAAATAGGTTTATTCAAAATCTCTGCCCTCAACGTGCTCATAATCTAATTGGGAGAAAAAACATACACACACAAAGATGAATTATGAGGCCAGAGTGAAGTATCAAGTTTAGGCAATGGTAGGCAAGCCATGACAAGGCCGGATGTGATTAGTTGCTAAATATAATATAGAGACAATAAGTCATGAGGCAGAAAAGGGGGTATGTCTGGAGTCCTCGGGGAAAGCTTATAGGAGGAGGGAGGATTTAAGGTGGATCTTGGAAGATGGTCAGTTGCTACAAAGCACCAAAGTGACGTGACTCCCCAACATCCTGTTTCTATCCAGTCTCCCTTTCTAGGGGTCCTCCTTTCAGAAGCTTCTCCCTATATGCACAGCCTGCATGCTTAGGCTCTGCTTCTGATGCTGTAGGGGAACAGAAGTGAGATCCATGTCCCCAGAGCCATTAGTCAAAGGGAAGATCTTCCCTGGCGATAGACAGAATGGTAGAGTGGAAAGATTCTGGATGTTTTTAGTCCCCAAAGCTGGCAATATGTATCTTCTTTTCTTCTCCAAGGCTTCATCCCTTTATCTTTCATCTCTCATAGGGTTTGTTTTTACAGCAGTACATGGGACATAACAGAGGATTTGAATGTGACACTGCTGGCACGTAGTAGACAATGAATAAAATTTATACCCCCCCCCTTCATGCTTCTCCTTTGCCTCTGCCATCCACATATAACTTATTCATTAAATGTTCCATGTATTACTGGTAAATAAGCACTAGGCCTTTGCTGTAGGATTCGTACAGCAAAGCTCATTCCAGGAGATCCCAGTATAGCACTGGAACACAAGAAAAGAGCTCATTCTTCCTGCTGACAGTTCCTGAAACTCATCACGCTCACCGACGTCCTTGAGCAACTCACCCATGTTGCCCCATCCACCAACCTAGCTGACTAGCTAACTCTCATTCATCTTAGATGACTACTCCTCCAGGAAGACTTCCCTGCCCCTACCTCCCACCCATCCCTACTCTGGTTTAGGTATTTCTCCTACTGCTCCTATGGTAGTACATGGAACAACATAGGATTTCAGAAAATGGTTATGGAAGGATGGAAAGATGGATGGATGGAAGGGTGGTTAGCTCAGATATCCCAATTAGAAATCAATCTGTCAAAAGTTCCTTTGACATTTTGGGACCAGTATGAAGGGTCTCTTACAAGGCATAAATTACTCAAATCAGAGATGTAAGCTAAACTTTCTATGAATAGTGGGAGTAAATAAATGAAAAGGCTCATTCCCATAGAATAAGAGACCTGGCATGGAAAATTCCTGCACAGCACGTTGCACACTTAATACTCACAGGAAACAGCAGGTAAGCAACATAATTAGAAGGAGATGCATAAGCCTGAGGAGCAAATGCCATTCCCCTTGGAAGTTTCCAGGGGCAAACTTAAGACAAGGTCCATGGAGACAAGATTCTTTACCAACTGTCAGACTCAGTAAGCACAAGACCCCAAACTTGAAATGTTTGGGAAGGAAACGTTTCTGTCCATGGAGACTGAAGTTAGTGGCTCTGAGATCCCTGGCATAAATCATTTCCATTCTGCCAAAGTCTTCAGCCAACAATGGGACCGGGAGAGCCCCTGCTCTCGGCTTCCTAATGCCTACTTTCTCTCTTACCCTACACAAAACCCTCACCACCCCCTGCCCCACCTCATCCTGCAATGCGGCCTAAGTGTCTTGAGATCACAGAAATATAAACATTGCCTATTTCATCTGAAACACCATGAAATTTTTCTTTAAAAAAAAAACTCATACAACAAAAAGAAAGCAATTGATTCAGATGTTAAAGCCATGAAGAACATGTTATCTGAATTTAATAAAAGAGAATGTATACCAATAGTGCGTGATATTTTAAAGAAAGGTGTCAAACAAGAGAAAGGAACTGATCTCTTCTTCCACATTTCCTCCCTTAGTTCTTTCTTTCTTGCCTTCTTGATATCCACACAAGAAACCTTTACAGATTGTCATGTGCCAGGCAGTGTGCTAGGCCCTGTGATGTAAATTGAATGTGGTCCAATTGTTTCCCACAGTCTAAGGGAGACAATGGCAGGTGATATGCAGTTATCGTACAGCATAAGACAGGAGATGAGAGAGATACGTCCAGAGCACAACAAGGGCACAGAGAAGAAACGTTCAAATCAGTCTGATGGGTCACAGAAGGCTCCCCCAATGAAACAACATCTGGAGGGTGAAGGTGATTTTAAGGATAAGCGGGGGTTTGTTTGGGGCGCCTGGGTGGCTCAGTCAGTTAAGCGTTTGACTTCAGTTCAGGTCATGATCTCACGGTTTGGGTTCATGGGTTGGAGCCCCACGTCGGGCTCCGTGCTGATAGCTCAGAGCCTGGAGCCCGCTTTGGATTCTGTGTCTCCTTCTCTCTCTACCCCTTGTCCACTCACATACACACATTCTCTCTCTCTCTCTCTCTCTCTCTCTCTCTCAAAAATAAACATAAAAAAAAAAAGTCATTCGGGATCTGTGCTGACCGCTCAGAGCCTAGAGCCTGCTTCAGATTCTGTCTCCCTCTCTGCCCCTCCCCCACTCGCACTCTGTCTCTCTCCCTCTCTCTCTGCCCCAAATAAATGAACATTAAAAAAAAGAAAGAAAGAAAGAAAGAAAAAAGGGGTTTGTTTGCCAGGCAAAAAAAAAGATGCAATTTCCACTCAGAGAGAATGGCAGACACAAAAGCAGAGCAGTGAATCAGCATTTGCAGAACCATTGGTCCCTCATCACAGCTACAGGAATGAGGAAGGCAAAGCGGAAGAGAGACACAGGAGTCAAACTACGGAGCATCTTGTGTGCAAAACTGTGTTTGTATTTTATCTTGAGAGCTATGAGAGCTCCTGGAGGGCTCTAAGCAAGCAACGCCATGATCTGGTTTGCATTTGGAAAAAGGACCCATCATAGGGTGGAGGATAGACAGGAGGGGGGTGAGACTGGAGGCAGAAAGACTACCTGGAAAAGTGCTGGAGTAAGCTTGGTGAGAAAGGGAGGAGGCCTCGTGGACCAAAGCAATGGCCATAGGAAAAAATGGTTGATGGTCTTTTAATTTTGGACAGAATCATGTATTTTTGGACAAAACATCCCAGCAAATAACATATTGTGTGATCAGCCTTACTTGTAGTTTCCTTCACATTCCTTTTATATTGCCATCAGTATCAGGTTTGGGGGGTGAAATATGTCTTTGCCATCACTGTGATCAGAAGCCGGCCCTGTGTCCTTGGCCCATCCCAATCACTGACTAGCTTGTTCCTTCAGGTGAGTCACTAGTTCTATCTGAGACTCAGTTTCCCTATTGATAAAACAAGATCATAAAGCTTGTCTTCTAACCTTGCATGAAAATTAAGTAAAATAATTTAATATATGTTGTTTCAACAAGTTATGTTGAAAAAGGCCATAGATCATCACACACTGCACTGTATTAGGAATATTTTGGATGCAAATGACAGAAAAGCCAACCTAAACGGGCTCAAGCTAGGAAAAGAATGTGAGCCGATCTGGCTTCAGACACAGCTTGACTCAGGATGATGATGTCCCCAGGGTCTGAATCTTGGCCTGGTTCCTCTTACACAGGCTCCACCCTTAGGCTCACACTGCAGTCTCCTTCTAAACCACTAGCAACTTCAGACGCACACAGGGGCCCCCAAAAGCACAGGATGAGAATATGAGGGACAGTTCTCTTAAAGCAAAAGTGGAGTCATTAAGCAAGGCAAAGGGAATATATACTGGGTGCAAACTCCAGGTGTCCCTTACAACATACTTCGCAGTTGGGAGCCACTCAAAGCCTCTGGTTGCTAAGCAGCTGTGTAGAGAGTAACCAACCTCGCTTGGTTGCCACCATTCTGAGACGGAGCACTCAAGAGATGTGGCCCTTCTTTCCACTTATGTCATAATCGTAAAATGGTTATTTATTGTCAAGCTTTCAAGTAGTCTTCCGAATGCTCTCATAACACCTACAAGCTATTCAGGAATCACCAGGATTCCGCAGGACCCATTTAAGAGGCACTTCCAGAGGTAATGCAAGGCAGAGGGCAAGAGAGAGCTTCTAGCAACAAGAGAGGGCCTAATGGGCAGGAATCAGATAAAAGAATCTGACCGTAATCAATAGTAATTGTATTTATAAGAGGCATCCTCTTCCTCGTTGGAAAGTACCTTCTAGACCCTGGGGGCTCACCCATTTCTGTAAGGTTTAAATCATTCCACGAATCTTTTGTGCACAGCCACCTGGTGAGTGGACCCCAAGAGGGAGTTGCCCTTAGGTATTCCATCAGAACGTGTCCAAGGGCAGAAACACACAAAACTAACAATCGTCTGGCCATCAAGAAAGATGACTGTCAACAACTTAGAAGGTGGCTGCCATCATTTCTTTGGCCACAAGAGAGCAAAGAGGGGATGAAGCTTTTCCTGCCTTGCAGGTGGCAATGTAGACCAACAGAATGCCTCCTTGAAGGCTACCTCTCAGAATCTGTTTCCTTTAACTTTATTCCTGAATACATGCATAGTTCATTCCTCTATCAGAAAGCAAGCTTCTCGAGGGGAGACGCCGTATCTTTTCCATCTCCAATGCTAATACTTAACCACTAAGCCTGGCCCATAGTAGGTGTTTCATAAATGTGTATTGAATCAATGAATTCACTTAGCTAGGCACTGGCATATATGAAGATCTGAAAGACAGCTCTGTGCATAAAGGTCTCATAACTTGGTGGAGTAGAAAATGAGAACATAACGGATTTGAAATAAGGCAAGGTGTTCTAAGTGTACCCCGCACTCCCATGGCCCTTTTCTGTTTACAAAGCACTAAACCGCATTCATTTTCTTATCTGATTCTCCAGACACTCCAATGATGTTGACATAGCAGATTTGTTAGTCTCATTTTATGAAACATCATCAGTTACTTGAGACGCAAGGGGCAGAAATACTCAACCAAAGTCACAGGACTTATTAGTGACAGAGTTTGGACTGGCTCTGAATCCCAGGTCTGGACCTTTCTTACGATGTCTTTGCAGACTGAACACAAGGAGGTTCAACCGTCCGTATCAAATATGGCGGAACTGACTTAATTGTTAAAGATCAACCTTATGTTATTAAAAGTGCTTTCTTAATTATACTCTTTTTTAATTGCCACACTGAATTTGTGTAGTGATTTTACAGATAAGAGAACAGAGATAGCATTTATGTATCCCGAGTCTAGACTAAACTGTAAAACTAGTCAGCAACTAAATTAAACGTAGAATCTACAACTCCTGAGTCACCACTCCCCCTTTGGCCCTGTCTCTCGCCTTGAAAAATCACAGAATCATGGAATACTCAGATGGTAGGAATAGAAGAAACCTTATGTAGTGTACCCTCCCAACCCATGCAGATTTCCCCTCATCCAGCTTCTCCAGTGAGAACGCACTACTCACCACATCAGAGTACAGGCCTTCCACTCTTGAAAATCCCTGGCATTGATCTTTCTGTCATTAACAAATTGAATTCTGACTCCCTGCCATGTCCACTCATTGGTTCTGCATTGGTCCAATTTCTGTTTATGCTTATTGGGTCCCTGCCATGTGTCAAGCAACCCCTGGGTACTATTATTATGTCCATTTTGCAAACAAAAAAAACTAGACCTTTGAGAGGTTAGGCAATTTACCCAAGAGGTAAGCCCAGATCTGCCACTTAAAAATACAATGCTGTCTGTGGCTTTTACTTCAGAGACGCACAAATGAAATGCACGCCTGTCTCCAGGTAGAGCCGATAAGACCAGTTTTGTAGACATGGCTCTCTCTATGCCACTCTCCTGTTTTACAAGTCAGTAAATGTTCAGGAGCTCCCAATCCAATGTATGAGGTTAATTAATAATATGTAAAAGTTTATAGTTTATACAGTATAATCTCATAAACATTTATTAGTATGCTAATAGAGAGTAATGGCCATGTGAGCATAAAATGAGACAGGGGCTGGATGACAGAGAGAAAGAGCTGTTGAAAAAGCATGGTATCACTTTTTTACCAGAAAGAGCATGATCTCCCTACAGATTCATTTTCCTGGTCGCACCTCTCCATGACCCTGATAGGATTGAAAGGATGCTGACCTTAGAATCGGGAGATCTGGGGTCTAGTTCTGACTCTGCCCTTAAAGAAGGAAACAGCGTTGACCTTTATTGAAATCTACTCTGTGTCCATGCTCTGCGAGGCACTTCCCCAGCGAGATCTCCATTTGCTCTACCTGGGTGAGCTCACACAATTGCTTGGCACATTATAAATATTTAATTCTATTTATTCAGGGGCTTCTGGCTGGCTCAGTCAATAGAACATGCAACTCTTGATGGAGTCTCCAAGAGACTCTTGATCTCAGGGTCGTGAGTTCAAGCCCCACATTGGGTGTAGATATTACTTTAAAAAATAATTTTCTATTTGTAAATAAATAAACAAACAAACAAACAAATAAAATAAAATAAATAAATCTCCTATTTGTAAGTAAATAAACAAACATAGAGATGCAATCCTATGTATTCAATTATGCTGAGTTGAAATGAAATTGCTCTCCTGCTCTGGGCTGTCTTCTCACCCTATCTCTAGGGGTCTTTGTATATTGCTCTCTGATTCCAAGAAAGTTTTCCACCATCTCTCCCAAATACATCAGGCAAGTGACATAAAATTTAAGTCATCCCACTCTCTTGAAGTCTAACACAAGGCAGTTTAGCACCAGAGAGATGGTGTAAGAGAGGCACCTGGAATCTTGTCCGTCACTGCCCTTGGTGGCCAAGGACAAGTCACTGAATGTACTACAGTCAGTTTCCTCATCAGATAATAAAGATCTCATGACAGAGAAAGTCATGAAATATGTGGAAGTATCTAGAAATTCATTTACTGAGCGCCAGCTGTAAACAAGCTGTCAGGCGAGGACATTGGGAATACAAAGACGGCTAAAATCCGATTTCTGCATTTAGGAAGTTCACAGTGTAACCTATAATGGAGAATGGAGGGCAACAAGTAATCCTTAAGCAAACAAAAGAAAGTTATAAATAAAGTTCTATGGGGAAAAAAAAAGAATAATTCATTTCATTTCAATGGGATCTTTCAGAGAATGCTTCATTAAAGAGAAGGATTACATGTTTGACCTAGCCATGAAAAACGAGGAGAGAATTTTGCAACTTGCCTGTTTTTAAACCTAACATTATGTTTATAACGCACAGAGATTTTATTTACTGTAACTATGATATACTATTTTATTTTTTTAAACCACAGTATATTTGCCAACTAGGGAACAATTAAGCTGTTACCACTTGTGCACTGTTAGATTGACTATCCCTGTACATGCTTTGGTCACATGTGAGATCCTTCCCTATCAGGGACAATTGTGAATAAAATTACTAGGTATTGCTAAATGGCTCCCCAAAGGACATGGGCAGATTAATACAATTATGCAAAATATAAAATCACATAAACAATGTTATGGATGATTTGTGGATGCATTTAGATATAGTAAAAGCACACTGGGAATGGTTACATCCGACTTCACCATGGAGCTTACCTCTGGGGAGGGGAAGGATAAGGGCCTTAGCCAAATGTTGACATCTCTTCAAGCTGGGTGATGGGCATATGAGTTTCTGGTAAACAATTTCTGTTCTCCGGATAGAAATGTGAAATAGCTCATAATGAATCCTGTTTAAATTAGAAGCCCCAAATCAGGCTGAGAAATGGGGAGAGGCTGGCCTTCCAAGCTGAGGGAAGCACAGCAAGAGCACAGAATAATGAATGCCCGGCCTGGTCTGGATGGGGCACATAGCACGGCTTCGACGGGAGGGAAGGATGCTTGGGGGGGGGGGGGGGGGGGGGGCGGGGGGAGGGAAATGGACACGAGCCAGACCAAGGTATCTGGACTGCATTCCGAAACCAATGGGGAACCGCTGATATCCTTGAGGACCGTAAGCCTGTGTGCTTCTGGCTGCCTCCCCCATTACCTGGACCCCACAAAGGGCACCGGCCACCCCTCTCCTCCCCACACATCTCCTGGCCTCCAGCAGATGCTGCAGTTCTGAGCTGGAGAGCCAGGCGGTCGGGAGGCCAGGGCCCCCTCCGCGGCAGCCCTTTGAGATGAGTCAGCTCAGAGCTGCTAACATGGAAATGTGCATTGTCTCATGCACAGGTGTGAGAACCGGGGGGAGCTCTGAGCCAGCGCCGTCCGAAGCTCAATGAGAGTTCAAACAATCCCCAGAGCCGGCGAGAAGAAAATTGTCTCATAAAACTTCCCATTGATTTTAGCTGGATCCTTATAAATTCCCGTGGGGCCAGATTGCTTTTAGCATGATTAATATCCCTGCCTTCCCTGAGGCACGTTCGTTTCTCTCTCTCTCTCTCCCTCTCTCTCTCCCGGTCTCTCTCCCCACCCCACCTCCAAACATGTACACAGCCACACCACACACTCACACCCTCTCACACACACACACACACACGTTCTGTCACACACTCGGTCATGCTTTCCGGCAGGGACATGTGCCCACACAGAGATGCATGGTTTCTGCATGAGTGCCTCTCACACTCGTTAAACATAGGGTTAAATGTTTCCCTTGTCAGGAAACTTCGAGACTGTTTCCTTTTGCAATGTGTTTTTCACACTTATCTCAAATCTGGCTAGGCTTTGCCTTATGACCAAAATTTTCCCTTGAAAACAGCCTGAGTTCACATAACCCAGCGCACAGGCCCTGCATCAATCATGGGGCCCGATGACTGGTGGGTCGGCCCCACGAACCAAAACAAGCCACTCAGCAACTTGTTCTGGGCTCCGCCGGGGCTTCCCAGGGTTCACGAGGGGAGAAGACAGCTCAGTGAGTCCTACACCCAGGGGAGCACAGACCTGAGGCCAGAGGCACCAGGAGCTTCACAAACTTGTGAAAGAGCAAACATAACTCTGGGCTTTGTTCAGGGAATCACAAGGAATCAGGAGAGGCGGAGTCAGCTGGCCCTCTCCACAGCACAGGGAAAACTCCAAATGAACTTATACACAGAAAATGGTCCCAGAGGATACAATTTCCAGCAGATGTCAGCCTTCAGGACTTGTTATTTTGGTGGAGAAATTAGTGTGTGTCATCAGAAGGGAAAACATCCGTAATAGCTCTCTTTCAAAGGCACACAGCTTAGTAGAGACGTTAGCTCACATCTAATACCATCCGGGAAACCGCTCCTCAGTCAAGAAACGTTCACTGCCAGGTACTGCATGCTGTCTGCTCATCAAGCAGCCTCCCCCCCCCCCCCCCGGAGGTTCCCCAACCACTCTTCCAATTCTTAGTCTTCACCAAAATCTACCAAAAGAAGGTAGATTCCAGCTAGTAAGAACAGTTTGTGAGAAACCAAGCTGTCCAGAACTGATAGGGTGCCCTTTGAGTAGTAGACACCAATGGCCAAGGAGAAAAGTGGGCAGCAGCCATATTGAGTTGTGGAGAGGGGGTTTTCATCCATCTCACGGCACTTTGGGAGATTTGTAATTCCAAGTGTTAAAAAACAAAATTCAACTGAGTAAATTTTAAAGATCTTGTTGGCTTCATTCAATGACTCATGAAGCAGGCAGCATCCCATCCAGCAGACAGAGAGGAGATGTAGAGCTATACACATGAAAGAATTTTATGGGCAGAAGGGAGCAGGATCAAGGAAATATCGGCAAAAAAGCAGATCGGTTGTAACAAGGCTACTTTCCTTACTGGCTGGCGGGGGGTTTATCAGGCAGATGACCTAACTAGTGCTGATCAGGTGATTCCTGGCTGACTGATCTAAGGTTCCATTTGTAAGAGAGCTGAAACTGTAATTAAGTTTTTGGTTTGGTGAGGTGGGCCTTAGCGTAACTGACTCCATTTTGGGCCTCCTGTGTTATTTTTAACCCAAGCTCCATCTCAGGCCTTACTACCACCTGGAAGGCAGTAGCCCCCACCTCAGAGCTCCTACAGCTCATCACCAGTACCTGTGTCTTTAGTGATCTTTCCACGTGCAGAGATCATTCTCAGATGAAGTCTTTGGAATTTGAAAGCACAAACTCAATCTCATTCTTTCATCCCCACACCTCCTAGCACAATGCTGGCACACGGTGAATGAATTATTTTATTGATGGCAGTGCTTTGGAAAGGAGGTGTACAC